TAAACATCCCTGAAGTCAACTGTAGGAAACTGGTGATATTTTGACTCTTTTTTAGTGGGGGTAAACATTCATTTGAGCAAGGAAGCATAATAAACTCTTTGGATTTGTACTTTTTAAAAAGTGATAATGCTTTTTTTTAATGTAATAATTTAATGTATTAAATAAGAAAGCAATATATTTTTGCAAAATACACTATTTTCTGTGACTTTCCCCCCACATAAAGTCCCAAGATCATGAAAAAAATCATTGAAAAAAGCTTAGAAATTCACCAGGACAAATATTTTTGATTTTTGTTCACGTGGTTGTTCATGTGCAGAAGAATAAAATAAGAGAAGATTTACATGCTCAGTCCTTTGCACATGAATAGCTGAAATATTTGGCTAATATGATGTGCCCCTTCCTTAGCAGTCCTGAAGGGGAATGTAGAAGGCAGAGGAGGAAAAAGAGGAAAGAGGCACGAAAGAGAAAGAAAGGATTGTCGCCCTCTAACTTTGATCCAGCTTAGCATTATGACTTACATCATGAAGGGTGCGACCCATTATCTCAAAGGGAATGCAGTCATGACTGACACTACCAACACCAGATTCTCTGTTCTATTAGAAAATTCCTTCAGAAAGCACAGGGAGATTTTCACCTGTCTCCTAACAATTAGTTTCTACTAAGAATGTATCTGGGCGTGTTAGTAGCAAGTGAAAAGGCAAGGGAAATGGCTACCCAACAGTATAACTGTCAATATGAAAGCAGAAATGTTATGGGTCTACTGCTTACTTAAAGCAGGGCACATGAGGTAGACAACTGTTCACATTGTGTTTCTGGCTATTATTTTGATGGGGGGTGGGGGGGAAGAACTATCCAGAATATTTATAAAATGAGAAGGACAGAGGAAGCAGGATGAAAAGAACAAGGCTGACAGTTGAGAAGGCAATCTGCAGCTGCACAGTCTGAGCTTTCAAACTCACACAAGACAGGAGGGTTAAAATTCTCTCTTGCCAGTGTTATGTTTTAACATGCTGATATTCTGCAGACATTGCCCTCAATTCACTTTTCAGTTGCTGTCATGCAGAGAGAATTCAGTCAGCTCTGGGAGCCAAGTGAAGGTGTGGTATATGTACAGTGCCATGTTCTTCCACAGGGAAAACTATAATGGAGCGGGGTGGGAAGCTCTATCAGAACATAAACAAAAATTAAATAAAAATGTCACAACTCATTTCTTTTATTCTCAGATGGACAGTCTTCACTGGTATGTTTGTAGCTAAAAGGTGGAGATATAAAAGCCATGTAAATTCTGCTGCCCAATATAGCCTAAGCACATCTGGCCCAGTTGTCAGGTCAAAGATTCTATTAATAACGGAAAAAATGTCTTACAGTAGCCTTTCCTAGTCTTCCATATACACTGGACTATAACATCCAAGACAGCTGGGAATGGTGGGAGTTGTAGTCAAGCACATATGGAAAGTACTTTATTGAAAGAAAGCTGACTTTTTGACTAGAAAGTTTCCACCTCCAGCTTGTTGAATATTTTTGCAACTTCCTTTGCCAGGTGGGGAGGACTGTATCCTTTTACACCTTCAAAGGAACAAAATAATATATAATCAAATGAGGAGTTTTTTAAATGTTTCATTTAAAAAAGGTAAACAGATTGGACACACTTAATTTGTTATGTTCTAAATTAGTATTGGCCAACCATACCCTCCAGTTGTCCTGATTTAGCAAGAAAGTCCAAGATTAATCCTCTCTTGTCCCACCTTTTCAGCTGCTTTTAAACTGCTGTAAAATACGTCATTTGCTGTTTGAATTCAATTTGGAGCAAATGACGTTTGAATGCAAATGAGGGAGGAAAGGAGAGGAGGAGTGAAATCTTGCCAACATCACCCCATAAGGTCAGATGAAAGCAAACCGCTGAAGCTTCTCCTAGCTTGTGTGTTCTTCTTCATTAATAACTTTTGCCATCTTTACCACACTTTGTTGTTGCTTGTCCAAATATGTCCTAGTTTTCATTTGTGAAGTGTTGGGGGGTATGGATGACATATCTTTGTGGAGAGGTGGAAAAATATTTAAAATATTTGAAAAAATGATATAAAATATCTTTCCAAGTGTTGCGAAACAGTGAAGAAAAGAATCCTGCACTGACGAGAATCTTTACTTTTCAGAACCTATTCTGTGTAAAATTTGGATGTGCTTGTTTTGCATAGAGAACAGCATTTTCCACATGGAAAAGAATATTTCAGTGCAGAAATATTCATTCCTGTGCAGCAAATCCTGTAATTGGGGTCTTTGCAAACTGCTAGAAATAGTGCAAATTGAGTCCACTTTAAGGGTTAGGGTTAGGGAATCATGGGAACTGTATTTTATTGTGGCAGCAGAGCTCTCTGACAGGGAAGGCTCAATGTCTCAGAAAAAAAAATTCCCATGATTTCCTAGCACTAACCCTAACCCTTAAAGTGGACTCAATTTGCACTATTTCTGGCAGTCTGCAAAGGCCCTGGAGATTCATTCTGAGTAAAATTCACACATGGTTGATTAGTATAGAAAATAGCATTTTCTGCTCATACAATAGTGTATTATGCAAAGGTGATATTGTTTCTGTGTTGAAATATTTTCCATACCAAAAATGCAGTTTCTTTTGCAGAAAATGCTGTTTTCTGTAGGAAACAATCACATCTAAATTTTGCATAGACAAGTCCTGAATTGTGAAACGCTTTCTAAAACTGCATGGTTTTCAAAGACTTTCTTGCAGTGGGAAGAAAATGGCTGAAATGACTCATTGCTACATTTGAGAAGGAATGTAGTAAAGAATTATATCCCTACCACTGAGCAATTTATTTTTACAGTGTACTCTAGCTGGGACTAGTAAATGGACATAGACCTTGTTCTCCAGGGCTGTGCCCATTATTCTGCTGTGTGGCTCAGGAAACATGAGCTTTACCCTTCGTATTTGAGGAAGTGTGGCATCTAGTTTTGAAAGCAAAAAGCACATAACACTGAGATCACACCCAATTGTATGTATTTGTGGGCAATATATTGTCAAGTAAAAATTATCGCTGAAACCCCAAACACTGAAACACTAAAATGAGTAATACTTCTCTTTTGAAGCAAAACAGGTTTAACTTATGAACAAGACCTCCTCTGAAAGAGTTTCCCCCCTCTTGTTGTAAGTATCATGTGGAATACGAATGAATAAAATGGGCAAGATGGACATATTTTTAGAGCTCTATCTTTGTTCAATCTTGTGCCCAAGAAAGAGACAACTGAATATTTGGATGGCAAACTGCATTAGAACTTGGTCCTTGGTCCTAGGAGCCATAGGATAGATTTGGAATTCTAGCAACAAGGGCAGAAATAGGGATGCAGCCTTATAAGGGGAGATCTGACTTCAATTGCCCTTTTCCAGTGTTTCTCTTTGTGGAAACTATCCTTCCATCTCTTTCATCTTGTTTCTATGAGTACAACTGGACTCTGGGTCTAGTGGCTTGGAAACCTTTAGTTGTTTCCACCAAAAGTCAGTTGCACTTTTAATAACATTTTTTTTAAAAAAAAAAAATCCTGTAGAAATGTCATCCTTCCTGTCAGTTACAGGATTCCCTTTCACATTGTACAATTGTAGCATTATGACTCCCACTCTTACTACTATGGCAATATTTTATGGACTCCTGGAATTTGCAGTTTAGGGATGGGCATACATCACTTAACTATATATTCCAGAATTCCATAGGGCACAAGTTTCTTTGCTGTTTGAATAGTCTCTTCCTATTCTTAGAAGGAGACTATTTGGATATTGACCAGAAGATGCAATGAGGATGAGGTTTCTGACTCAGACTCTGGAGTTCCTGCTACTTATGGTTTCTTTCATTTTAAATTACATCAGGAATGGTTCTTTGGGGAAAGTTTGAACAAGAACATTTGAAATTATAAAGATCCAAAAACATGAAAAGACACTTCAATCATTTGTTATAGAACCTGTGACGGTGTGTATTATTATTCTATAAACTAACCAAATGATGTTTGAGACAGATAAATCCTTCATAGATTAGCAGAAAGGTTATTCCTGCTCAGTATTTTAGGCCTGTTTATCTTTTCTCAGGCTTCATTTACAAACATAACATTGCAATTAAGGGGGGGGGGGGAACTCAAATTGAATGGTGTTTATTTTTTTACTCTGGGACCACCCACCATTTTGTCTGTGAGGGAACCTCCCTGGTGTAGGGCAAAATTACTCATAAATGCATTTTCAAACATCAATGTTTAAAGATGCTTTAGCCATTGTTAACTCTGAATCTTCATGTGGTACAATTGCATTTTTTACTGTGAGATCATGACAGGAAAGAAGATCTCAATTTAGCCTGGAGTTTTCCCTATTTTTATATTGCCACAAAATGTAATCTTTTTTTCTGTGTGTGGAAATTTAGAAAAAAAAATGAAACGTCCTCTGATTTAGAAGACAGTCTAAATTATAGTTGCTCACACTTTAAGACAACATTTGTTTCAGTATTGTATAGAGCAGTAATGGTAATGATAATGATGGTGATATAGCATATTATAGCAGCTATCCTATTATTGGTAATGGGATATTTGCAATCTTTTCTTATTGTTTCCCAGTGTGAGTTTTCTGATGAGTTCATATGAGTGACTTGCCCAATGAAAACAATTCCAAAATAATAAAGGTAATTCAAAACATTGGGAAAGCAACTCACAAATATTTGGGGGTTGGGGAATCAGAATAAAATCTAGGAAGTCCCACATTTAAATTTAGTTATTACTGTTAAAATGGCTGGTTGATGTAGATGGTGACTTCCTAGGCCTCAATCACATTTCATACAAAAATAAACAATTTGAATTTCTTCCTAAGAGTCTGTGGCTGTCCTTAGTAAAAACCAGATAACATTGCTGAATTTCTGGTAAATAATGGGTGAAAATAACTGGGATTTTTGTTTGTTTGTTTGTTTAAAAAGGGAGTCTTGTTCATCCCTACATATGCCTGTCTCTAATCAGTGAAAAAGAGAGCTGGTGTGGTGTAATGGTCTGAGCATTGGACTAGGACTCTGTAGACCAGAGTTCAAATCTCAGCTCAACCATGTAAACCCACTGGGTGACTTTGGACAAGTCACATGTTCTCAGCTTCAGAGGATAGCAGTGGCAAA